CCTGCCATGCATGTTTTTGGAATGTGGGAGGAAACCGGAGAACCTGGAGAAAACCCACGCAGGCACGGGAGGAACATGCAAAGTCCACACAGGAAGGCCAGAGCTGGAATCGAACCTCTGCAGTGTGAAATCGACGCACTAAACACTGGACCACCGGGCTGCCACTTCACACACAAAAACTATCAATTCTGAACAGCCTGGACAACAACAACACAAAAAAAACAACTTTATTCTTATTTTTTTTCATGTTATACCCCATGCTGCTTCTCCTGAAACTGCCTCTTGTCGGTCGAGTACCCTAATATGGACATGTTCCCCTTCCTCATCCTTGTCAAAGCTGACACTGGCCAGAGCGTTCCTCTTTGGCCGGAGGATGTCGCCAGCTCTTGAATAAACCCTCTCCAGTGGAATGAGCGAGTGAGGTGTTGTATTTAATAAATAAGTCCACCCACGCCTCTCTGTGTTACACCGGCACCTTCCCAATGCAGTACGTGCGGTTGGGTGACCAGTGGCGCATTTGAAGTGTTCTAAGGCAAATTTTATTCTGAGCCCATTTCGCCTGAGTAGCTTGAAATTAACTTTTGGCCCCTTCCACATGCATGCACACGAATAAGCAGAAGCAGCTAATAAAATGTAATAAATAAATAAATAAATACACACATACACTCACACACAATTGTCACTTTTGTGGCATGATAACGATCGTAGCTCACGTGTACCATTTTAAAATGCTTATCTCAACACTCCAGATTGCCATTCTTTGCCAGTGTCCTCAGTGAATTATACATGAAACAAACTCTGAATGAGAATAATAATAATAACAATAAAATATATAGTGCAACAGCTCTGATCGCAAGCTACAATTGCAGACTGCTGATGGCTAACAACTTCCGATGATGCAGGTCACACGCCACCGTAGGTTAAAGGTGACCTGCTTTAAAAAAAAAAAAAATTCATACTTTTTGTGAAAGTGAGACTGATAGAATACCAAGGGTGCAGTGTGCATTAACACAAAAAAATATATTACTAACATGCACAGAGATGCACAAATGTGTGTTTGTTGTTTTTTTTTTTTTTACTTTAAGCTACCAGTCAATCGCGATTGATGTATTAGGCACTCCTGCGTTAGAGGGTGACAGAAGTCCCATCACTGCCGTCCCATCCCACTCCCACATTAAAAATCACATCCCGGTCCCTGACCATAGTAAAAAAAAAAAACCCTCCCTTACACCTCCCATTTTGGAGGTCAGCTACATAAATATTCCATCACATTTTACTCATTTATTGAACAGTTTGTCACCCCTTTCTCCTCATGGAGCCTCAGTTATTCCATGCAACATGGAAAGGCGAACAAATTGGAAAAAATAGAACTCCTGCTCCCGTCTGCTCCCATGAACTTTTTATCGTGTACCATCCCAATCTTGTAATTCTAGGTAAAGTTGACTCGCATGCCGTGGGAATCCCGCGGGATTCCCACAGCCCACGGGATTCCCAAAAAAATGTCAACATCAATTATACATACAAGATTGAGGACCCAATCATTTTCTTGGGTTGGGGGGAGTTGTTGCTTAGAGAGCAAGAATGAACAGGGATGCTCAGAGATGGTTGAATGGAGGAAAACACCACTTTGTGGGTGTTTTGGTGAGGAATTACCATTTACAAATGACTAAAATCTCAAAAAGGTAGATTTTGCATGACACCGGCCCTTTAATATATCCCTTTAATATATAGTGTTCACATGCTAAACATTTAATTTTTGAGTTATTCCTAAATTTGTTGCTGCTTAACAACTAAAATGAGGCACACATTTCATGGCGTTGCATTCCACGCCGCCCCCCTTAAAAAAACAGGAAAAATTAACATTTTTATCACTTCCCTAATTAAAAGCATGTGATAATCTCTTCATGCACAAACCACTCTTTAATCAGCATGAGCAATTGATTCAATCTAGTTATGCGGAATTCCTGATCCAGTCTCGACCCTCCTTGTCTTCTAATGTTTTTTTCCCCTAAACTCATTACTGATGTGAGTCTTTCGGCCCACAGCAGCACGTCTCATGAATTTGCACTGAGCTTCATGGAATGATTATCAACCCTACGAGTATGAGGAGGATGAATCTATTGAGAGGCCGTTTCATTCTCCTTCTTTCTCTGTGTCCATTCTGTTAAAGGAGCTCAGTGCATCTGCTGGCTTCCCATGAATGTTTAATGCATTTCGCCCCAAGCTCTAAGGTGTCAACTGAATCTTGATGTGTTTTGGAAATTTGCAATTTTCCAATTGTTACTTAAAGTTGACACGTGATGTCAAGCAAGACACATGAACAGAGTTGCGCCGCTGTGTTAAGGGGTTGCTCAAGGGCACGTTGCAGGTAGTCAGATGGCAGACTAGCATCTCCAACAACTTGTGGCAATTTATTGTATGGGTCATCCCAGAATTGGAGGATATTTTATATCCCACGCGTCAAATTTTAAATATCCACATATAAAATACAAAAACATGCTGTTTCTGAGTAAATTTACTTGTCATGACACAAAATCAAAAAAGAAAAATTAAGAGAAAAGAACATTTGAAAATACCAAATACGTCTGTGATAGCCCCTAAAATGCAATTTTTCTTTCGTCCCACCACCTTAATGACCAAATTGAATCTCAAATAAAACAGTTCAAATTTAATTTAAATGTCATTAAAAATATATATATTTGTTTCCTTGGATTCTCTTGTGACTGTGGGAATATTTGTTTTAAGAAACAGAAGATTTGAAATAATTATTATCCATGGAATGCACACACACGCATATATAACATTTCTCAAACTGACACCGCAGTTCCAAAGCGGATGTCCTTACAGATAAGCTACCATCATAAACCATGAAGAATTCTGGTCTGGGGTTGAGCAATGACACAAATGCAAATCATGCACTCAACTACTGCACTTGTTAGGTTTTGCATGATGGTAGTTGGAGGACCCCAAAAAGCAAGGAGGCAGGTAGGAGCAGGGCGGACTGACCAAGATGTAGTTAACAAAAATGCGAACAGGAGTACACTGGAAAAAAACTAAGTGAAGTACTCAAACAAAGTCCTGAAAATCACAAGAAACCAAAGTAGCCAAAAAAACAAACAAACAGAAAACAAAACATGACAGGAGCACACAGACACACACAACAGTCCAACAAAGACTGACAGAACCCAGGGAACCAAATATAAGCAAAGTGACAAGACAACGAGAAACACCTCAGACAAAGGGTCGAGGGAGCCGATTGGTTAAACACGAGGGACCCGAATGACGAGAACAGGTGGAGACAAAAAGGGCACATGAGGGGACAAAACCGAATGTAACCTAAACAAAAACATAACAGTACTACATTGCCGTGAAAAGCATTTGCCCTCTTCTCTGATTCCTATGATTTTCCCTTATAGTTTTCTCATTAAGAGTATCAAATTAAAAGCTGCAATAATTTCCATGGACCACCCCCAAGCTTGATTACCTCCATCCCTGTTCAATCAAGAAGTCACTTAAATAGAACTGGTCTGACCAAATCAGGTTTGCCAGCAGGTCTCCAAAAACTGCAACAAAATGCCACGATTTAATCATTTCAAGAACACATGAGAAATAAAGTAATCAACATCTATCAGTCTGGAAAATGTTACAAAGCTATTCCTAAAAGCTGGCGAACAAAGATGAGAGCCATTATCCACAAACAGAGAAAACATGAAAAATTAGTGAACCACCGGTCTTCAAAAAGGACCCCAAGAGCACATAGACAACTCATCCAGGAGGTAATGAAGGAACACAGAGCAACATGTATAGAACTGCTGGCCTCATTCACCTGAGTTAAGGCCAGTCTTTATGACTCAATCATGAGGAAGGGACTGGGCAGAAATGATGGCAGAGTTACAACATCGCTGACCAAGAAGAATGTTGAGGCTTGTCGTTTGGGGAAAAAAATAGAATATTCCATGGTTTGACAAGACAAAAGTTTCACTTTTTGGAAGTTGTGTCTTCAGCTGGCGCATATGCAGTATATAACACAGCATTTCACGAAAACAACATCATATCAAGTGGGTGAGTGTGATGGTCTGGGGCTACTTTATTAAAATCAGCACCTGGACAACTTGTTGTACTTGATTTAACCATGAATTCTGCTTTTGACCAGAAAGTCCTGAGTGAAAATGTGATCACAAGTTCTAGCCCACTTGGGTTCTGCAGCAGGATGACAATCAAAAACACAACAGAAGTAACTTTCTGAATGGCTTGAAAAAAACAAAAAAACAGCGGCCTAGTGAAAATCTGATTGTAATGCTGTGGCACCATTTTAAAAAGGTTGTTCATTCTTGAGAATCAGAATCATCTTTATTTGTATTTACAACACACAAGGAATTTGCCTCTGGTAATATGAGCTACATTAGTTTTGCAGTAACAAGCAACTATGAGAAGCAAAGACATAACGTTAGTATTAGTACAGAAAGACTTTCCATATTGTAAGGGTACCATTGTGCAGAAGTACCAGCCAATGACAGCTGTGCGACAATGTGGATAGTCATCGAGCATAAAATGATCAGTGGTGCTGTACTTACAATACTATGATGGTTGTGCAATTGGTACAGATAATCGTTGCACCATCTTTCAGTGACCAGGAGCAGTAATTCTCGTCAAACGTTAGGTGTGCAATTATGCAGAAAATCTTGAGCGCTTTAAAGTGTCTAGTGCACTCCAGTGTTGCTTAAAGCAAATCTGCGAGAAGGAACGGGCCAAAATATCTCCGCAAAGATGTAAAGTACCGGTACTCATTACCTGTTGTGTAAGGTTTAGGGGGCAATTACTGTTGTTTCACATAGGGCCAGGTAGCTTTGACTAATTCGGTTTCATAATAAATTAAATCACCATTTAAAAATTGTCACCATTATTGTTTCCTTGGGTTATCTTTGGCCAGTACTTACATTTGTTTGTTCTGAAACATTTAAGTGGGGAAACTATTAAAAAAAATACAACTTACAACTGCTCGCACTGTTAATAAAGGTCTGGAAAACTATCATTCGAACTCTTAACATAACTGATTCTTATGGGCCGGGGACATGAATCATGAAAATTAAACATATTACACATCAACCCTAAAATGGAACGGATTATGGTCAACTCTCCCTCAGAATCCCTTTTTACCGTCAATATTAGGAAGAGAGCAAATAGCGTACAGTTTCAAGGGGGATGACAACCCTGCAGTCATTTTCCCCCAATGAACATTCAAACAGGTAGTTTATGTGAACTGTTGTGCAGTAAGGGAACTTAATTTGAGACCCCATCCTTCAAATGTCTTCCACTCATCTTGTCCTGGCTTGTTGCTCTTCCATAAATGGTTAATGGTTATTCAGTTGGTCGATAATAAAGAAATCCTCAGAGACAAGCCCTTTAATGTTGATGTTACAGGGCAGTGGAAAATTTGGATTAAAACTGTGCACACATTTGTGTTTGAGCACATTCAGTCACGGGTTTATGTTCATTTACGAGTCTGGAATATAATCTTTTTAAAGGCCCTCCTAAAGTCTCGATTAAAAATGGTATAAATAATCGGGTTCAGGCAACTGTTGCAGTAGCCGATCCAGAAAAAGAGGTTAAAAAGTGCATCAGGAATCATGCATTTCTCTTTGCACAGTGCTTGGAGACTGTAAGTAAAGAAAAAGGGGAACCAGCAGAGGACAAATACTCCCATCACCACTGCCAGAACAAACGTAAATCGCTTCTCCCTCATTTGTGCCACTTTGTTTCTGGACAAAGACATCTGTCTGCTTTGGCGCGCCACAGGAGAAGGGAGGAAGAGGTGATGGGAGCAGTGATCCGAGGATACCCACGATATGGAAGCACAAGATGGTGGCGGAGGCTTCAACCTGCTTGCCGATCCCTCAGTGTCTTTTTCCTCCTCTGTTTTCCTCTTCCCACCAGCTCTCCTGGGGAAGCGGAGCGAAGCAGAAAACAAGGAAGATGTCTTTAGGTCATCCTCCCGACTTTTCTCCTCTAAGTTAATATTGTCCAACTCTTCTCTCTTGTGGCTGCTGCTGTTGCTCTCTATGTTAGAAGAGCTGCGTGCGTTCCCCGGCAGTTGGTTGTCCGCCTTGTACAGGGATTTTCTGCACTTGGCTCCAACTTCTTGGATAGTCCTATGGGCACCCCCAAAGCAGGTCTCAGATTGGGACGGTTGCCGCTCGATCACATTCTTCGCCACGAATACAGTGGAGGCTCGCTGTTTGGCAACTCGGTATATCTTACAGTAGACCAGTATCATGATAACTCCTGGCGCAAAGAAGGACACAAGGCAGGAGGAGAGGATGTACCAAGTCTGGTTGTTGAGTAGACACTCCTGCTTCTGGGGGTCGTCGTTGTCATCCGTGAAGTCCCAACCCACCTCTGTGTGTGCCATGAGAAGAGGTGGTGAAGAGATGACGATCGATATCAGCCACACAACACTGATCATCATTTTAATCCGTTTGGGCGTCCGTTTGCGGTTGTAGCTGACGGCTTTCGTGACCGACCAGTAGCGGTCGAGGCTGATGGCACAAAGATGGACAATGGATGAAGTGCAAAACAAAACGTCCAGAGCCAGGTAAAAGGAGCACCAGGTGGAACCAAAATACCAGTAGCCCATCACCTGAAAAGAGGAGAAGCCAATTAGGACAAGACTGTTCAAAGTCACAAGGAAGTTGAGTGCGAGTCAATCATGTGACAGCTGCAAAAAAAAAAAAAAAAAAATCTTTGATGTGAACCACTACACTTCCACTCTCTTAAGCTTGGATCCGATCGACCAAGATTTTGGAGGGTTTTTTTCAAATCAGCATCGCACTGTGATAACATTTCAAATCCTCAAAAGAGCTATCTCTGTACTATGGTTCATCCTAAAACCAGATTATATTCCTGTGAAATATTTGTATGAAAAAAAATTAATTTAATGGAAGAAAAAAAATCAATCCATCCATCCATCCACTTTCTGCTCTGCTTATCCTCACGAGGGTCGCGGGGCGTGCTGGAACCCATCCCAGCTGTCTCCGGGCAGGAGGCGGGGGACACCCTGACCTGGGTGCCAGCCACTCGCAGGGCACACATAGGCGGAACAACCATTTGCACTCACAATCACACCTCAAGACAATTTAGAGTGTTCCATTAACCTTCGGTGCATGTTTTTGGAATGTGGGAGGAAACCAGCGTACCCGGAGAAAACCCACGCCGGCGCGGGGAGAACATGCAAACTCTACACAGGAAGGCCGTAGCCAGAATCGAACCCTGCACTTCTGCAATATGAAGCCGACGCGCTAACCAGTTGCCTACCGGGCCTCCCCGGGAGAATTTTTATTTCTAAAATCTTAAAAATGGTACACTGGATGCAGGTCAATGATTATTAAAAATTTTAAAGGCAGCGGGGAAGACATCCGTCTGAAGACAACAATTGACTCCTCGGGCATTTAAAATCTGTTCCTTGGAGAATCCATAAAGTGACGTGGCAAAACAATCTAAAAATCAGGTTGTTGGATTTACCCGGGAGAAAACTCTGACTGATAAAGTCTCCTTGCAGCTGCCAAGGCAAAACTTTCCAGTCTTCACTCAGGTAAAAATGACTGTCCATGATTATTAAAATTTTAATGAGCTGAAAGACTGTCATGGAATCTACTTCTGAAGTGGTCTGCAAAGTACTCACAGAGAGCGTCTGTGGGGACATTTTAAAATTGGAGCTCATGGAAACATCAAAGGTGGAAAAAATAAATATGGAGTTGTTTTTATTAAATGTCATCTCATTTGAAAAATAAGCTGTAATGTTTTCTTTTTTAGACTGTTTAGTGTAGGATTTGAGTTGTTCCTGCAATATTTCCTCGTGAACTGTAAGTTTCGTTTTCTTCACCTTCTCTTTGCACTCCTGCATTTTCGTTTTGATTTCTTGATTGGATAATTTCTCCACAGGGGTAGAGTCTATATTTTTATAGTATTAGTTAAAAGTGGCACCACTGAATCTAGTGTTGATTTTAAATTCCTGTTAAAACTATCAACAATTAAATGTGGGTGATTTTAGTATCTGGCAATGGGCAGAAAGAAATCAGAAGCTTATATCGGAAGATGAAGGATGGCAAATCAAATAAAAACAAATTACTTGAAGAGAAATTGTTCTTCAATTCACATACATTTCGATTGTAGAGCACTTTTCACTATTAAAAGATGTTGCCGAATTGGAATATAAATGTTCTGAGAGAGCAAAAGAGAGAGAGAGAGAGAGAGATAGAGAAAAAAATATTTTCTTTCACCCTCTGTGAAGCTCTGCGATATCTCCAACAATTATGGACCATTCAAGCCTAAACGGTGGGAGCTGAGACAAAGATCAGCTGAATAATCACAGGACGGTGTTGAAGCAAGGTGGAACAAAACTGCTGTCGATAATAGCTCAAGGCAGTCCTTAACTTTCACTCGGGAAAGAAAAAAGATAAAATGTGTCAGGCAAGACCATAAACTGTATGCACCAGAGGGCTGTTGCATCATCATAGTCCTTCGACCAAAAAGCAGAAATCAAGCCAAACAATTTGTTTACAACAATATGTTCTAACACCTTCACTTGTCTAAACACTGCATTCTGATTCCTATTGCATTTGTGGAATATGAGTTAAGCGACAAAATCCACACGTTTTTAGCCACCTCAGTGGACAGCCATTTTGCCGCTTTCTGTTGGCTGAAAATGACCTCAGAGTTGCTGAGGGCTCAGCTAACGACCAATCACGGCTCACCTGTTTTCTGAAGTCGAGTACAGAGTTTTAAATCTGTGTTCTACAAATGAAAGCTGTCAAATCATTCGCCAAATCAGTTGAGCACACAAGAAGTCCACCTGAAAGTACACACAATTAATATGATTACTGAATTTGTAGAAAATTGAACTAAAAATAAATGCCAAAGCAAAAGGTGTCAGTTGTTCCACTGAAAACACCAACATCTAACCCAGGGGTCGGCAAGCCAAAATGTTGAAAGAGCCACATTGGACCAAAATAAACAAAAAACAAATATGTCTGGAGCCGCAAAAAATAAAAAGCCTTATAATGAAGGCTACACATGCTGTATGTATCTATATGAGCTATATGAGCCTGCTATCTATCAACATGACTAAGTTGGCTACAAATACACAACGAGCATTCATGAGTAAAAGTTTTTTCCCCCCTGCAGTTCATCCTGCAGAGGAGGGGTGCCCAAACTTTTTTGACGGAAGATCTACTTTTTGAACAACCAACCTCCCGCGATCGACCCGTTACCGCACAAGCGCGCATACGCACACACTTAAACACGCATGCCGTAATGAGCAACAGCCATCACGGCCGCTAAGATGAACGAGGCACGGGACGCACTTTTGCAGCTTCTCTTGGCCACCCAGATTCCCATTCTTAGCAAGTAACCTCAGTGAATTGTCGATGAAAGGCAGCTGGATTTTTTTGTTGTTGTTGGTTTGTTTTTTTTTTTTTTGTTTTTTTTTTTTGTTTTACAACAGCCCCCTGACTGACATCCCGACTGCTAATAGAAACGTCTGTCGCAGGCTATCATGCAAATATTCGTTGATGAAATGTTGTTTAATATTTATTTGACATATTTTTACAGCATCAGAACACGTTAATAATGTTTATGTCATGTTTGCCCTCTGACAGAAACCATATTTAAACAAAAATATATATTTCCCTCCCATCTTTTTCCATTTTCAAACATTTTTGAAAAAGCTCAAGGGAGCCACTGGGGGGCGCTAAAGAACCGCATGCGGCTCGAGAGCCGCGTGTTCCCGACCCCGGGTCTTATCAATCACCTTTGAGTATAAAATGGACACACTGCTGACACTGTAAATTTCAGAATGCTGTGCAACAGGTGGTAGCTATAAATGTCCTAGTTCCTCTCTTGCAAGTGCCACTTCATTTGACTGATGAATTCAACACATCTTTATTTCTACAGCCCATCAACAATAACTTCAGCTCAAACAAAATTCTGTACATAAAACATAATACATTATTTAAATAATGATTCAATAATGAACAACTATGGGTAGGCGGACAAACAAAATACAGGTATTCTTTTTTTTTTTTCCATCAAGCGCTCTCTTGCAGCATGGAGGAAGTTGTATTCCTTCTTGTTGCATTATTCTGGCTCCTGAAGAGCCATGTAACATTTGTTTTCTGTTTCTATAGCTACAGAGCTGCTTTATTTTGTTCAATTTGTTATTGTGAAAGGCACTCTGGATGTTGTTGCTTGAGACACCTTCTGTTTCACGTTGTACGGGGAAGGTGCGAAAAATGGACTGCACTTTTGTGTCCTAAGCCATTTATATGATGTAAATGTATGCAATATTATTTGTTAGTGGGGTTTGTTCACTTTAAATTTACATTTGAGGGACTTTGCAATTGTTTACGGTGAGCATTTACGTACAGCGATTAGCGCATTGGCTCGTGAACGTTAGCAACACTAGCGTAGTCACGCGTTCGTCATGTGTCAGGCAAGTGGGGCACATTGTTTTGCCACGTTTTATTTTGCAACAATGGGTAAGAATTTTTGTGTGTGTGCGTGTGTGTGTGTGTGTGTTACAGTTTTACACCTTCTTGACTCGCCTCAATGGTGAATAAATTGCAAGAAACATCGACGGGTGTGGTCATTGAAGGAGTTATCTGTATGTCTCGCCGCAGCGGGGACGTGGCGAGGGCAGAACATGCACATATGTTACAAGTCCTGGCAAAAATTATTGAATCGTCAGTCTCGGAGGATGTTCCTTAAGTTATTTAGTTTTGTAGAAAAAAAAAGCGGATCACAGACATGACACAAAACTAAGGTCAATTCAAATGGCAACTTTCTGGCCTTAAGAAACACAAAAAGAAAGGAAAGGAGAAACAAATGTGGCAGTCAGTGGCAGTTAATTGTTAAGGGGTCACCGACTCCGGTCCCCTAATCTGCATGTTTTAGAAGTGTCCCGCCTTCAACACACTTGATTCAAATGATCAACTCATCAGCAAGCACTGTAGAAGCCTGAAAACGATCCTGTGCAAGTTCCAGACAATTTGCATTCCATGACATTGACCTTATGTGTCTTTCTTCAAGGAATGTTTTTTTCAATGGCTATATGCAGTATCCTCATGAAAAATGATTTCATCATCCCCAAATGACCTTTCAATTGATGGGGTTAGAAAAGTGTCTAAAAGGTCAATGTAAACTTGTGCATTTATTGAAGATAGATCTGTAATTTAGCGATGATAGAAGTGTGGTGAAAATAATGATGACTGACAGACTGTGGCAGAGCAGCCGCTGGCCAATGACGAGTGACGGATAAATTGCCCACCTCTGGTTTTGGGAACGGAAGTTTTTAGCATGACTGCATATTTTTTTTCCTCAAAATTCAATGATTCAATTCTTTTCTCCTCTGCGTGGTCTAAAAATTATTCTTACCACATTTCTCTTGATTTCGTAGTGTTTCCTAAATGTTTTGTCATGTCTGTGATCTGCTTTTTTTTCTACAATGTTTAAACAACTGAATGAACATTCTCTGAGACTTTTGATTCCATCATTTTTTTCCAAGAGTTGGAGATGATAGAGTAAGACTGAAGTTTACAGTGGCCAAGATCATCAATATCTAAAGCCGGGATACTAAAATTGTAATCTTGCTATCGCAGTGTGCATCATCTCACTCATGTTTGTTGCAAGCTGAAGGTAAATGTAATCAAACAAATACAATTTTCTAACAAACAGTAGTTGGCAAGTAATAAACAAACAGAAGATTTGATCCAATTCTGCTGTCCCATTTAGTCCTTTCTCTTGATGCAATTTACTTCATAGTACCGACTTTCGTCCCTCTCCATATGCCCTCCGGGTTGCATTCTTCGTCGAATGGACATTGAACGGCTTAATGCTGTCACTTTTCAACCTTCACGACTCAAAAGTACTTCACACCCTCACCTCATTTACCTCCTGACGACTCAGCATCAGGAGCAACTGGGGATTCAGTATCTTGTGCAAGGACACATCGTCACAACGGCCAGGAATCAAACCCCCAACCTCCGGGTTAGGAGACGACCACTCTACAACTGAGCCATCCTGCCCGGCTCCAAGTTGGGGTGAAGCTCTTCATGGTTGTAGCAATGTAGACAAGTGGTGTGACACGGTTCGGCAATAAACCAGATGGGATTCGGATCCCACAAACGCAGACTCAGATAAATCACAAAACAACAAAATGTACTGACTGACAAAGTGTAAACAGAAATCTGCTGACACCAAAGCGCCAAAGAAATCCAAGAAGAACAAAAGATGCTTGCAAAAGGCAAGATTAATTTGAAATCTGAAAATACACAAAACGAAATGACAAAAGTAGAAATATGTGAAACTTAAATCAGAGAATGTTAATTAATGAACAAACCAAAATAGCTGAAAAAAAACCAAGAATCTATGGAACAAGAGTGACCATAAGCGGGAAAGAAACGTCTAGAAAGTATCTCTTGAGCATAAACGGCAAGCAAGGTCAATAATCTGACAGCGACTAGGCAGCTAGCTAAATACATGCTCATGCTTGATTGGGAACAAGACACAGGTGCACCTGCTGAAGAGGCACACCCTGCACTGCAAAAACAAAACACAGCCAGAGCCAAAACATGAAACGATGAGAGTCAAATAGCGTCTGTGCTCATGGCGTAAATTTTGTAGACCGGCTATTTGCCACTGTTACATTTCATTTCCAAATGACTTTGTAACCCTTTCCAGAGTGATCGATGATTGTGGTATTTTGTTGCAGCTTCTTGAAATTTTCCGATTTCATTTCGTCAGACAGGTTCTATGTGAGTGATTTCTTGAGTGAACATGTCCGGAGGTAATCTACAAATTAGCGGGAAAACTGCCAAAAGTAAGAATTTGAGAAGAAGGAAAATACTTTTTCTGCACTGCTCTTGATTGCAGAACTAGAACACAAATTCCCCCTACATTTGGTGATGTGTGCACTGCATCCGTAAGACACATGGATGCACACAAACCGAAGCATTGGGAATCACGGGGAGAATCGGCTTAACCAACGGCAGCTTTGTGGTAGCGCGGTTCTGTTTTCAGGGGTGATTAAACTCTGCTCAGACTGCAGCTGGCAGGGAATCTCAAGAGTCTCCAGAAGTCTCCAATGACACCAGAAAAGTCACTAGATTTGTTGCTAGTCACATTTTGTGAAGAGAGTCACAAAGAGTCAAAGCACTTCATAGTTGCAAGTTGACAGCTGGACCGCACTTGATTTTACGACTCATAGACATTTGTACACACAAAAAATATACTGGTAGTGAAGAAAATTATTGGTGACTAATACAGGTAGGAAGATATCAATGATGATTTCTAATTGCAAACACGCCGGCTTCATAACGCTCGTAAAATATCGCCCTGTGGGGTCACAAATTCTGTCAAAATCTCGATTACTCTGTTCATGGAAATGCCCTTCTTTTTGCTGTCAAACTCTCAAGTGCTCTCGAACGCATGCTGAGTGATATTGACACATGGGGTCTCAAAATATTGATGAGTCGCAGATTTTGTCTTCACTCCACCTAGCTGGTGTGTTATGCCCTATTATGTACCCTCAGGTTCCGTCGCATTCCTTCCATTTTGCTACGGCTGACAAGGTTTCTCTGGCACCGTGACTACTGTGACAAATCTTTTGACATTTTAAAGAGCTTGGCGGGCATCCACGGCAATCACAGATTGTCATATTTGCCCTCTCGCTTGTCTCATGACAAGCCACGGTGGCCTGAGATTGGTCAGGCAAACAAGGTAAACGTAACTTTAGAAAACAATAATTGCTATGGCCATCATGACTTTTTGTAGATCTACAAAGACACATTGTAGCTCTTTCTGACCTTCTCTGAACTTCTCCATCAACACCCTCAAGGCAAATCATACACCTGTGGTACTCTTCCAAGTCATCCAACCATACTGCTGCTCACAAATTCTCGCTTGTCCTGAGTCTAGCGTCCATCACTCTTTGCCATAACATTATTGTGTGACTCATCCACTTGATTCCTTTGTAGTTTCCACAACTCTGCTCTTACAAATGGGCACCAGAACACATTTCCTCCATTCCCCGGGCATCGTCGCATCCTCTACAATTCCATTGAAGAGTCTGGTTAAAAACTCCACAAACACTTCTCCTAGATGCTCCCATACCGTGTGTCATCAGGACCAACCACATTTCCATTTTTCGCCCTTTTTAGTGCCTTTCTAACTTCTTCCTTCATCAATAAATAGCTACTTATTTCCACGGTCCGTTGCCATACGGTGATAAAACTTAGCAAGACCTAACAACACTTCAACATAGAGACAAAAGTGGCCAAAATGTTTTGGATGAACAGAACAGTGCTGTTGTGTTTGCAGGGAACATTGCACTGTAGAGATCGCTTTTACACACACACACACACACACACACACACACACACACACACACACACACACACACACACACACACACACACAAAAGGATGGATTGTTTTCATAATCCACTCACTCGGTAGATGTGGATTTTGAGCAGATTGTGGATTTTGTGTTACTTATTCTTATCTTAACCCTGCAAAAAAAAAAAAATAAAAAACGATTTAATTTTCATGGATCCTTGCATGTAGCATATACAGCGGCCACGTCACCAAAAACGTCAAAATGTATAGCTTTTTGGATAACCCATCTCTACAAATGATGTGTTGAATATTGGATTTGGGCAGGCTGATGTTGGTGATGGGTGGTGTTTACCTCATGCTGGATCAAAATCTGGGAATAGATAACCCAGCTTTAGACCCATCGCTGAGTTCGCTATTTCATCCATTTTGGGTACTTTTAAATCAGCGGTTTTAGGATTGTACTACTGTATAATACATGCTTGCCACAGCATTCATTAACTAAATGTTAACTACAAAAGGTGTAATTTATCAAAGTCTGCACTCTAAAAACAGTTGGGTCAAAAATACCCCAAATTGGGTTAAAAAGGGATGATCTAACTTTTTGGGTTGCATAAATAACCCAGAAAACAACACAATTTTTGGGGGTCGTTTTGTGTTTTGCTGTTAGCATGATTATTCGGGCAAAAGTTAGAGAATCTTTGACCTTACAATAAACTACTGTGTCAGAATAGTTGCGTTGGTTTTGAAATGACATGAAAAATGATAATAATACGTAATTTCAAACAGTTGAGGTTTTGATAAGGTGAGGTAGGACAGCAGCTGATTCCATATACATTTTGCTATGCTGTTTGTTTTAAAATGTTGGAGACATCACCTGAGGATCAAAGACTGATTTATTTTTTTTTTTGTAATGTTAATAAAATATGATTTCTATTTTTTTGCATCCAGCACATATCTGACCAACATATCTAATTTAAGTGAATGATGAGCATTCTTAATTAGAAAACCCACTCACTGATTCAGTGTTAAGATGAATCCCATTTATTATTATTTTTTTTTAAATCCTCACCTCATTGGCCAAGGAGAAGGGGATGACCAACGTCGCCACCAGTATGTCCGCTGAAGCCAGAGACACGAGGAAAAGATTTTGAGGAGCCCGCAAGGCACGGCTGGTAAAAACGGCCACCACAACCAGCACATTTCCCACAACTGTCACGAGGATGATGACTGTGACGACGAGCATGATGAGCACTGACGCTGCCTGGGAGTGCGGAGGCAGAGGAGCAGACCTTGACGAGGAAGAGGACACCTGACTAATATTCTCCAAAGGAGAGGTGGCGGGGAGCGTGGCCATTACAGGTGAGAGCACATCTGAGTCCATTCTTCTTAAATCAGAGTCTCTCTTTTTTTTTTACCCGACTGCCTTGAAATGAAACTGTCTTATGCCGGTTTGAGAAATGTAGGCGAAGAACGCAAAATCATCTTCCCAAATAGAATACAAAAGAGGTCCATCATGGTAGTGGGACAGTTAGCAATTTAACAAACAATTTACATTTCAGTAATATAGATTCGAATTACATGCTTTAAATTTACATCTCAATCAATTAGATTAGAATTACATGTTGTAAATTCTCAGCCATTTTGTCGGTATTGAAAAATTTGCATTAAGATTTTAAATACATTACAAAATCCATATGCTGACTTACGACGCTTGTACTTGTTTCCAATATAACATACACACACGCACACACACTCACACACACACAAACAACGGCATTTTTTTAAGTTGGAGTACAGCTGCGGTCCAAACATATGGAGTGAAGAAAGCATCCCAAAAAATCATTGGAAAGGAGTTCGAGATAAAATGCAAATAAGTAGGAAAAAAAATGGTGTAGGAAGAAGTGGTAACGCGTGAATAAATAAAGCGAATGGTTGACGCGCTGAGTGAAAGTGCTGCCGCTCTCTGATGCTCCTCTGCTGGAATAAAGCAGGCGGAGGAGAGGCTGAAATGAAAGAAGGAAAAAGAGGCGTGCGGTGAGGCGAGTGAGAGATGTTTGAGGAGAGTATTCGAACACCCAGGAAATGAGCAAAGAATGAGAGGATAGGAGAGGAGGGTGGAACGACAAAATGAAAGGAATCTGAGAGCAGAGGATGGCCCAGCTAGGAAGAAGGCAAAGAAGCCAAGATGAAGGATTCATGGATCAGACAACAAAAAAAGGAAAAGAAAATAGGAGAGGTGACACGGAGAGAGAAGGGAGGACAAGTTGATGGGAAATAGAGGACCTAAGTAAGGAGCAGAGGGGGAAAATTAAATAACAGAAAAGTTGCATTGGGGAAGTTGCAGGTGAGAGAATATGTGAATGAACGACTTTTTCCATCCATTCATCATCCATCCAACCAATCATGTTCTAACTCTTATCCGGGTCCAGCATGGGATATCCATGCGGTGGGACATGCCCAGAACACCTCACCACGGAGGTGTCCAGGATGCATCCTAACCAGATGTTTGAGCTACCTCAGCTGGCTCCTCTCAACGCGGAGGAGCAGCGGCTCAACTCAGAATACCTCCCAGATGACCGAGATACTCACCCTATCTTTGCCCTCAACCGTGAACAAGACCGCAAGACATTGGCTGCGAAACCGCTCCAGTGGGTGTTGGACATCGTGGCTTGAAGAAGTCAACAGTACCGCATCATCTGCAAAAAGCAGGGATGCAAAACTGAGGCCAACAATTTAAACCCTGTCAATGCCTCGATTGACTCTCAAAATTCTATCCATAAAGGTTCTGAACAGAATCTGTGACAAAATAACAGTACCACCGTACTTCAGTTCTTTTTGAATAGCAATGAGAGAAGCACACATTTAGCATGCTAATTTAAAGCTTATTAAAGCCAAAGTACTGCTGACTAGCTAACTGACTGGATGCCCATTATCACTGAAACTCCTGTCGTGCGTTTGTGTGTGTGCGCGCGCATGCGTGTGCGATACAAATAAGAGGTAATATCACCCGTATGTTCACCAGTGTGGGCTGGGCGTCTCCCCAATCATTACATCTGTCTCACCTACACACCTGTCAGTCTTCACCTCGTCAGCCACACTCACCCCTTGCCGCATAAAGGCCAGTCTGAAGCGCCACGCGTTGCCAGTTCGTCAGCTATCTTCCCATCTGCATTCGCTGCCACCCAGCTGTTATGTTCAACCTTCCCGTACACCTCGATTTGGTTTCTCTGGCTGCTTTTGTTTCCTGCCTCTTCAACCTGTCGCTCTTCATGACAACAAACCAGTTCTGAGTTCACTGTGTGTGTCTGTGGGTCCTCTGCTCGTCTCAAGCTAAGCTTAACGAAAATACCTTCAAAAATGTGAGGTTCGCAAGCTGAGCTGTGCTTGATCCTTACCTGAGCCCTGAGCACATGTGATGTCGTTTTCCGTCAACAGCAAGTGGCAAAAAATTTTTGGAGGTGTGGAGTGTCCACAAAAAATAATAAATGAATTCATTAAAGATGAAATATTAACTTTGAACTGCTGAAAATTGTGCTGACTATTTTTGGCTTGGGCATTCAAATGACTAGCTATGACCCTGGACTGAGCAATCAAAGTGTGCTCATTCACGGCCCGTTCTTTGATGATAGGAGGCATTACGGACGGAGCTGCAAGAACTCAGTGAATTGCACCACACTTTGGCCGTCGACACTTCAAACATACGTGGCTGTAGTATACTGGTACTTCAATTAGGCAGAGATAGTCTCAGTGAAGCATCGGGGTTCTTTTCACCAATCAGCTACGAGGGGATGATTCGCCAGATGAGTGGAAATCATGTACGTTGGACAACACCCCATATCCAATTGACAGGTTGTCAAATACATCGTTTGACCTGTTTGAGCAATTTCAGATGTGATTATTTATTTATTTATTTTTATCCCGATTAAGGGTTACAGGCCTAAGGTTGTTGGCGTATACTGCTTGTCACCATGGTAATAAGTCCATAACTCAACGGTCATATAATTGACAGCGACCGAGCCCTCCCGCAGTGGTAATGTTCGCTTAGTAAGGTACATCAACATTAATATCACTGTAAAGAGGCTGCATGTAGGAGCTGAGGCTCGGTCAAATTACGGTAAACAAGTGGGTGGCTTCCTGCAAGGTCTGTGTGACCTGATCATACGACAGGGCGCTTATTTCAGTGTGAAATGCTTCCACACGTTAACCATTTTCTTTCATTTCATTTCTTTCTTGTTTTTCTTTCCACTCCCTCAACCTCACACACCAAATCAATTTTTCGATTTCTTTGAAAGAAGCAAATAGGAAAATGCATAATGCCAATACAGCTCAGGTTTGCTTATTTTTATTTTTTTAATGCGCTGTATGCATTTGCTGTGCACCGAGAGGGTGAGAGCAGTGCGCGCTTGCGCACGCACGCAGCTCGGAGGGACCACTGAATACAAACCATCAGATTAGTAAACAGGATATGTGCCAACTACACACTGATGGGAAGAATGAAAAACATCTGGATTTAGCTTTCCCTGCGTACAAGGTAGGCTATGTCAGTACCGTGAATGTTTTTTTTTCTTTTAACACACAGGGATTCAAATTTCAAGTATTTTCATTCATGGCGTTAACTGTATTTACTGGAAAACAAACACAAAACAGTCTTTTTTCATGTCAAAACACACATAAAAATCCAGTGGGGCAGATGGCGGCCGTGACGCATCAAAAACACCTAGCCGAATCAGGTAGCCAGACAAAATTAGCAATAAGGAATTGTGGGCAGGGAGCGAGCCAGGAGAAAAAAGACAGACAGATCCGGAGGCCCAAGAGACGATGGATTCTTTACACCTTACATAAGCCAGCAGTTATCATTGCAGGCAACCCTTAGGGGACTCGGAAGAGAGAAAGGCCCAAAAAAAGCTGGAGACGAGACACTGAGGCAGAGCCTCAGAGACAATATCCAAAGATGGGGAGAGGCGCAGAAGATCAACGACCTCCGCTCTTCGGGGAGTTAATGGCTATGAAGAAAAACTCACAATCATCACAGAATTTGGATACTGTTGTGAACTTAGACAGACACTAACTTCCGAAAACCAAATCACATATGTGGCCAATAAAGCTAATCGTAAATTTTAATTGAAGAGGGCAGGTAATTGCACAATGCCTCAGCTGATGAAGAGAGGAGCTTTAGCAAATGGGCTCTCTGGGCTTTGGCAGCAGCGTTGTTTGATTTAGCCGTTATCACATACTGCCTTAAGGTTTGTTGAGGGGATAATGAAGACTTTCAAAGTGGATGTCGGGCCTACGCAAATACCAACTGTCTATCACAAAGTGTTATAGAATACATTAACAAGCCTAACCTGTGGGTATGAAGAGGGAATCGAGCGGAGAAACACTATTGGTTGTCAGATATTTTTTTTCTTGAAACAAATATCACGGGTCTCCGCAAATGACTTTCTATTCTCCCGGTGCTCTTTCACTAGAATCTTTGATTGAAATGCCTTTTATTACAATATTCATCCATCTCATTTCTGTCGCACATGTCCTCATTCAGGTGGCAGGCTAAGCAGAGAAGCCAGGACTTCCCTCTACCCAGCCACTTCTTCTCATCCAGTTCTTCCAAGGGGATCCCGAAGTGTTCCCCATTCAAGACACAATCTCTGCTGCATGTCCTGGGTGATCCCCGTTGCCATCTTGGGAGTCTCCAATGATGTTGTGGTACATTTGCCTGACTTTGGTGTGGGCGGCCTGGGTTCAATTCCCTCTCAGTGTGATCGTGTGAATGGTTATGTACTCTGCAACTGACTGGAACCAATCCAGTGTGTAGTCTGCTGGGATAAGCTGCAGGTGCAGACGCTGCACCGATCTGATTGCTTGAGACATTTTTTACAGTTTTTTTGCAATGTCTGCAGGAAACCATTTATGTTGTTTGTAATTTAACAATGACTGGTGCATGCCAACAGTTGTCTCTTGAGTGACAGAAGATGATTGCAAGAAATTTGTGTAATTTCAGCACAAGTTACCCAAAGCAATAAAACTTGGGTTACAGTTTTCTCCAAGCTGCATTTAGGTTATTCCCGGTCACCTCTTGGCAAGCCATGTCGATCGTCTTCAGGCAAATAACGATATTGAAGTGCTGCTTCCAAAACTCACGAAGGGTAAGCTGAATGTTTTCTGTGATGTCGAAACACCTCTTGAACAGGTGTTTTGCAGAGTTTCTTGAAGTTTGAAATGAGTTCTTGGCCCATGGGCTGGAGAATAAAGGTGGTGTTAGGTGGGAGGAACAACACCTTCATAAACGAGAACTCCTCCAGGATATCATCTTCGAGGCCGGGCGGGTGGGCAGGGGCATTCTCGAGAACGAGGAGGCACTTGAAGGGTAGATTGTTCTCCTCTAGATACCCCTTAACAGCAGGGCCAAAAACCAAATTGACCCACTCCACAAAAAATTGATGCAGGCCTTGGCATTGGCCCTCCGTAGCACCTGAAGTCGCTCTTTTAATATTTTGCGAGTCTTGAATTCTCTGGGATTTTCGGAGTGGTACAACAGCAGGGGTTTGATTTTGTAATTCCCACGGGCATTGGCTCAAAGGGTAAGCGTAAGGCGGTCCTTCATGGGCTTGTGGCCTGGCATTTCCCTCTCTTCTGCTGTGATGAAGGTATAGCGAGTCATCCTTTTCCAAAAAAGGCCCGTCTC